ACGTGCTTACGAGCCGCGATGTGACGTTCGTTGAACATCCGTTTCCCTCCTGAAATCAGTCGAGGACGTGAAACGTCTTCGAAGTGAACATCCACAGCGGAACTTTTCACCGTGGACCAAAGCTCACCACCCCTCCAACCAAGCCTGCCTTCACCCCTTGGGGAGGCTGCACCGTCCACGACACAACCACCTCTACCCTCGTTTGGGGAGGCCTTTTCATGGACGACGCCTCTACCCTTATTTGGGAAGGCTGGGACATCAGCCCCCACTCTACTTGGGGAGGCCGATACGACCTCACCTCTACCCATACTTGGGGAGGCTTTACTTCGTGGGTCAACAGGTACGGTGTGGCAAGTCCCTGTCGTACATGACGTACCCGACATCACTCCACACCTGTCTGAGACCTCGGGCGATAAGAAAGCGGTTGTCTGATTCTTGCCACAGACGGTATCCTTTGTACTCGTCGGAAATGCCAAGTAATCGACACCTTACTGCTCTAGCTGATAGCTTCTTGTCAGCCCTTACTTCTACAGGGACGTGCGCGTAGCACACACTACCCCATGCATATAGGTTGCTTACATTAGGTGGTACTCCGTAGAGAACCTCATACGGAGACTTGTTGCCTAGTCTTGCCATTGGTGTTCTATTCTGGACATAGTTCATATAGTGGAAGGCCTCAGGCCACCATTTGGCAGGCATCTGGGATTCCAGAAGCGCACATCTGATTTTGCTAAACTTAGTCTGGAAGTCTCTCTCTGAGCTTCCATTCTCCTCCTTGTAGTAGGGATTTGACTTCTGGTACTTAATCCCAAGACCTTTGTAGAAGGTCAGTAGACTCTTATTATCAAACTCTGTTCCTCCGTCTGAGCGAATACGCTTTACCAGAGCTTTGCCTTCACGCTCAATTTGAGCAATGTATTCTTTAACTGATTTAGGTACATCTGTTTTCTGTTGAAAGACAAACGCTGATGAGTATGACGAGTGATCGTCAATCATAATGCATCCATACCTAATACTACGTAGTATTAGATTGAGTGCCATAAATACCATTTTGTTTTACTGGGCCACATGTGTCCATGCGCAACGTATGCAAATTCTCGGTCGATCGAGAACCGGACTTATTTCGAAACGACATCCTTCGATCATTCATAGTAGTACATGTGTGACAATACAGCTTAATGTCCTTAAAGATGTCCTTTGTTATGATGGGAAGACTATGTACAATACACGTAGTTAATATTGTTACTACAGCATCCTTAGCTAGATGTCATAAGCGGACATGCCATTCCTGCAAGAAAAGGGTTGCCTCTTTAGCTCCCACCGTTTTACTGTACTTTTCCAATTTGACTTGGTCACATCTCACCTGTCTGTCTGATAACGAAAAACTCCGGACGTAGTATGCCCCATTGATAGCAACCCCCACAAACTGCAGGACATTCATCTTGAACACATACTTATAGTTGCCACACATACTCTCAGATATAGTATATCCCTCCTTCTTCAGAGTACTTTCACTAAGTATATTCGACTTCACATTACGAACTAAAGCGACTTTGTCGAATGAGAATGCTGTTATTCCACTCGGTGTGTCAAACCAAAGCTTCACTGTACCCAAGTGTTAATTCATTAGTTTAGAACCTTGACTGAACCTAAAGACTGGTGTCTGGCTTTGTCGCCTTAAAACTACTTGAGTCGTACGTAAGGTGATGGCCGCAGCCACCATCAAGAGCCCATTCCCTACTAGACATAGTCCTGTCAGTCAATAGATGTGGATAACAGCACCTCACCATGTCATCTATCTTCGCCGTGATCGCATCAACCTCACTCGAGAGGCGTTCAAGGCTGGTTTCGGTGTCAACTTTAAAGCCTGCAGCTCGCCAAAGTGAGCCTCAACACTCTGGAAGTCGCCGTCGGCCAGACGCATTAGCTTTCTCGTGGTGGTCTTCATAGTGGTCACGTTAGACACACCATACTTCTTCTCGATCTCTGCCCAGAGACGGTAGATTGGTTTCTTTTCAGAGAACGACTCCTTCATTTGCGCGACAAATTGGTCCGGCAAAACATTGCTCAATAAAGTGCGGATTTGTTGCACTTGCATAGTACGGTAGTACTGATGCCACTTCGCGCGCTTCTCGTCGGGGTTGGTCGCAACTAGTGGTTCGCCTTGCAGCCAGTCCTCGAATTGATGGTTGACTCCGGGCGGTGAGGGGTGATCGACGCGAGCCATTGGCCTTGCAGCACGACAGTCATTTCTTTAAGGTGCGAAACGAACTTAGTGGTCCACACGCGAAACTTGTCTTTCTTCCCATTGAACACGAGCAAATTAATGCCGACAGTGTCCTTGGGGTTCGCACCCATGGTGTGCTTGAAATATTAAATAGGCCGGGGCGCGGACAGGGGGTAGAACACGCACACAGAGGTAGAGCACAGTTCGAGGTAAAACCAGGAATGAAAGCCAAGTCTACATCATTCCAAACCCCTCACATCCTTGTCCAGAAGCACACACAACCACACAAAACATAAGCTATGAAGACCTGGCATATGCCTCGGTCTTCATATCGCATAACACTGCCTCAATGTTCCTACCACCATACATTCCATCTACAGTTTGATTGTGCAAGTGGTAGAGCCTCTTGACTTCGAGCTACATATGGAGACACTTCGCATGCGTGATATATTCTGAAACTTGCCAAGGGAACAAGTTTTGTATCCTAATAGCTCATGCCTAACAGAAGTAAGATATTATAAATATACTAGAAGTTAATAGTACAAGCACTGCTACATACTACCTCCAGACGGAAATAGAAGTACCTTTTCAAAATCAGCCAAGGACGCAAATAGAAGTGTGATGATGTTATGGCTCACAATAATAAGATATCGAGGGTTGTTTCGGAGGCTTGACGTCAATGGGGCAAAGATCACCGACGGAGCACACAAGGGGATGTTCGGGGTGTTCGGGGAGGACAGGAAACTCAGGGAACCCGGGGAAAGCCGGGGTCGCTGGGAAGGCCGGGAACACAGGGGGTTGAGCAGTCGAC